ATAGTTCTTCTCCACTTTATATTTTAGTTTTTAAACTTGCTGGGACACTATGTTACTATTTGTTTTGTGGTTGAGGTGTTCAATGTTTTGTCTCTGTGAGTGCAATTATTATGTTCACTTAAGTTTCCTTATAAATTAAATACAGAACTGAACCTATACTACTCTTTCGTGTTTCAGTGTTGCACATTGTATTAGTTGTTTCCAATTTTCAAGTTCAGGTAGTTTATAACGAATAGTACCGCTCTTCATCCCCAATTTCGTACTTGTATTTGTGTCTTTACTGCTTTAGTTAATGGCTAGATTTAGGTTATTTCTATTTTCGTGCATTGCTATTTTCCTTTTGTTATATTTTCATCTCTTTTTCTTTTTTGTAAACTTGTAATTTCCATTTTGTTTTTATACTTTGTTAGGGTATTGCTATCTATTGGATAAAAAAACCTTTAAAAAAAAGAGAAAAAAATGCCACGTAAAAAGGTTGAAAATATTACACATTTAGATGTAGAAGAACCTATTATTGTGAAAAAGAAAATACTCTTCTTTAGAGAAACACAGGCAGGTAAAAATTGAACAGGAACGAAAACGGAAAGGAAAACAATTGATTGATGATAACATAATTCAACGTCCAAACACCAGTATTGATCCATTGGATTATATAGTTAGTTGTCCTGACTTGTTGCCTAATGTACCAAATTGTAAATGTTGTAATGCTAAACGTATTTATTCAGAACCACCTGGATTTTGCTGTTCAGTAGGAGAAATAAAACTGCTAGGAACTAAAATGCATCCTAGATTAAAAGATCTATCTTAGGCAATTCTGAAGATGCCAAACACTTTCGCGATTGTATCCGAAGCTATAAGTTTGCATTCACATCATTTGGGGCTCATTATGATAAGAATTTAGCAAAAAGAGATCATGGTATATATACATTTCGAGTTCAGGGTCAGTTATATCATTTTATGCCTGAAATAGTTCCAGCGAATGGGGAAAAACCCCATAACCTTCAGCTTTACTTTTATGATACAGATCATGAGATTGCAAATCGATTATCATTTGACTCGAAATTTAGAGAATCCATTATAACAACACTTCTCAAAATTTCAAATGACAACTCTTATGCTACCTTCTTGCGAAATCTTCGTACTGATAATCTTGACGGAGCTAGAATTGTTTTACAAACAGATCCAGTTCCTGATGAGCATACTTTTAATAAACCTATGTCATCTCAAGTTGCTGGAATATGGTTGGAACCTGATGAAGGTCAATTTTTTGAAAACCAGCACATCCAAATTCATCCAAAAACGGAAAATAGTCTTCCTCAAATTATCAGCTGTTATTTTGGTTGTTATGACCCATTACAATATCCCCTTATATTCCCTTACGGAGATCCTGGTTGGCACCAAAATATTGTCCGTTTTGATAAAGAAAAGAAACCATCAAACCCTAACCCAATCTGTGAAGGGGAGGGTTTTTATCACATTGAAAACTTTACAGATCTTGAGAATTTTCTACCCGTTGAAAATGAGCGTGCAAGAAACCCAAAAAAGAAACAAAAAATTGTTTCTTGTCATCAGTATTATTGTTATAAGCTACAAATTAGGGATAATGATGATTCATTTTTGCTACATGTGGGCAGACTCCTACAAGAATATGTTATTGATATGTATATGAAAATTGAAACATCACGATTACATTTTTTGAGAAGTGATGAAATACAAACCCGTTTACGAAATGAAATATACTGTAATGTACTTGATAGTATGGTACAAGGGAAACTGGTGCCGAAATTGGAAAACGTATAATATTGCCCACATCTTTTATTGGAGGGCCTAGAGATATGCGTAAAAGATACATGGATGCTATAGCTTTAGTTCAACGATATGGAAAACCAGATGTTTTTTTAACCATAACATGTAATCCAAATTAGCCTGAAATTAAAGCTTTATGTTTACTATTGATGAAACACAAAACATGCCTGATTTAATAGTTAGAATATTTCAGGCGAAACTTGCAGTGCTAAAGAATGAATTATTTAAGGAAAAAATCTTTGGTAATGTTGTTGCTTACACATATGTGATAGAGTATCAGAAAAAGGGTTTACCTCATGCTCATTTTTTACTCATTCTTAATCAAGCATCAAAGACATATTCTTCGGAAGCTGTGGATAGAATTGTATGTGCTGAAATACCTAATCCAAAAGAGAACAAATACTTGTTTAACTTAGTGAAAAACCATATGATACATGGTCCTTGTGAAAAACTTGATGAAACTTGTCCTTGCATGAAAAAAGATAGGGGCTGTAAATTTAACTATCCAAAAGAGTTTTCAGAAGTTACTGATTTGGTATTAATTGTTACCCTATTTATCGCCGAAGAAACAATGGTCGTTTTGTGGACATTAGAGGTTCAAGACTTGATAATCGGTGGGTTGCACCTTATAATCCTTATTTGTTGGCTAAATTTGATTGTCATATTAATGTGGAAATACAATTCTAGCTATAAAATATATTTATAAAGGACATGACAGAATTATATATGCTTTGGCCCCAAATGAACAAGAAACTACTGCTAACAGAGAAACCACTATTGATTAGATTAATAATTTTGTACAAGCTAAATGGATTTCCGCTCCTGAAGCCATTTGGCGAATTTTTAAATTCATTCTGAATGACACATACCCTTCTGTGATTCCACTCCTAGTTCACCTACAAAATGAACAATCAATAACATTTCCTGCTCATCAATCATTAGCTAATATTACCAATAATCTACAATAAAATCAACTATGTTAACTCAATTTTTCTATATGAACAGACATGATAATTACGCTATATAGAAAAAATGCCTTTATGTTGAATTCCCTGAATATTTTGTCTGGAACAAAAAATCAAAACAATGGCAACGACGCAAACAGCGTGACGTAATTGGTCATGTATTACCTTGCCACCCTTCTGAAGGTGAAAGATTTTATTTAAGATTATTATTGCTATATGTTAGATGTCCAACTTCTTTCACAGATTTGAGAACAGTTAATGGCAAAATTTTCGATATATTCAGAGAGGCTGCACTTACATTAGGATTAATTAAAGGAGATAGTGCCAGTGAAATATGCCTTCAAGAAGCCATAGCTTATTTAATGCCTACTGCTTTAAGACAGCTTTTTGCTACTGTACTTGTATACTGTGAACCTGAAAAACCTAAAGACTTATGGTTAAAATATAAGGATATACTCTCTGAAGATTTTAATCGAGATAAATCTCTTACAACTAATGAAATAACTCAGAAAGTTGCAAATACTATAACTTATTATCTTTATTTAATGTCCAAGAGACCTAAAAATTATTCTTTCTAACCCAATAATCCATAGACAGGCTTCAAAGATGATTTAGCAAAAGAATTACGTGCTGAAATGGATGTTATAATACCAGATGAAGATCTTTTAGCAATTAAACAACTAAATGAAGAACATAAAATTGCCTATGATTGTATTATGTATCATGTAAATAATAAATACACAAAGTATTCTTTGTAGATGGTCCTGGAGGCACAGGGAAAACTTTTTTATATAGAGCGCTTCTAGCAACCGTTAGATCTAATAAACAAATTGCGCTCGCTACTGCCACCTCAGGTGTAGCAGCATCTTTACTTCCAGGTGGTCATACGTCCCATTCAAGATTCAATATACCTCTAGATACTAATGAGTCTAAACCTTGTAATGTTAGTAAACAAAGCACGTTAGCTTACTTATTTAGAACTGCAAAATTGATTATTTGGGATGAGGCTACAATGGCAAAGCGAACTTTAATAGAAAAATTCGATCAAATGTTAAGAGATATAATCAATCCCAAAAAATTATTAGGTGAAAAATGATTGTTTTCGGTGGTGACTTTCGCCAAACACTCCCAGTTGTTCTTCATGGAACAAAAGATGATGTGATTAATCCTTCAATTGTAATGCCACCTTTATGGAATCACTTTGAAAAGTTAAAACTTCAACTTAACATGCGTGCATTACTTGATCCTGTATTTTCACAATAATTATTAAAAATTGGTGATGGAACCGAAGAAAGATAAAGGAGAGGTTAAAATTCCATCAAAAATTAACATATGTTTTGAAAATGATGAAACATCACTTAACAAGCTGATAGATGCAGTATTTCCAAATATCAATAATTACTATAATAACATATCTTTTGTAAAACGGGCTATACTTACCACAAGAAATGAGTTTGTTGAAGAAATCAACAATATCTTGATTGATAGGTTTCCAAGAGAATCCACATTATACCTTAGTTGTGATGAAAGTGTAAATTTTTGTAAACTACCAAATCAAGAAGAGGTATTTCATTCATTGACACCAAAAGGCCTTCCTCCTCACAAATTAGTATTAAAAAAAATGCACCAATCATCCTCCTTAGAAATATAAACCCTATTGAAGGACTATGTAATGGTACACGCCTTATTTGCAAAGAACTTGATCGAAATATCATTTATGCAGATATTTCAGTTGGCCCACATGCAGGCAAACCGGTTTTTATTCCACGGGTAACACTTGAGGCTTCACATGATAGTCTTTCATCTATCCCATTCAAAAGAAAACAATTTCCTATAAGATTATGTTTTGCAATGACAATCAACAAAGCTCAGGGTCAAACTTTAGATTTTGCCGGTATTTATCTGAAAGAACCGGTATTTTCACATGGTCAACTTTATGTTGCACTCTCAAGGGCAAAAACGATTGAGCAATTGAAAGTACTCATCAGGCCAGTGACACCATTGATACAAAATACCGATTATACAAAAAAAGTTGTTTATCACGAGGTTTTATCTACTGCTAATACACACTGAAGATCAGCCTCTCAGCTGGAGTGATTCGAATAGGTAAACTTCTACTGTTCTGTTAATGAATACAATATTTTAGGTAAAATGCAACCCATCATTTCAGTACAATGTCCCTTGAAAGTTTACGTATGTTTTTCCATCCTTAACTGTGATATTCAGACAATGCTACTAAGGAACTATGGCCAAGATTCATCAGTTTCAGACAATGTTGTTCTTCCAATGTACCAGGGCATTATGTTTCATGGTAGCATGAATAATTGTCCGGTTTGTGGTGGCTCTTTGATGTATAATAGCAAAGAGTATTACTGTAAAGGAGAATTTAATGAATGGTCAAGTTGGACTTATGCTACTAAGGACCCACCAAGAAAAGATGAACCCCTGAAAATCCCTGAATCTGTTGAGACTGAAGATCAGCCTCTCAGCTGGAGTGATTCGAATAGGTAAACTCTACTGTTCTGTTAATGAATACATTATTTTAGGTAAAATGCAACCCATCATTTCAGTACAATGTCCCTTAAAAAGTTCACGTATGTTTTTCCATCCTTAACTGTGATATTCAGACAATGCTACTAAGGACCTATGGCCAAGATTTCATCAGTTTTAGACAATGCTGTTCTTCCAATGTACCAGGGCATCATGTTTCATGGTAGCATGAATAATTGTCCGGTTTGTGGTGGCTCTTTGATGTATAATAGCAAAGAGTATTACTGTAAAGGAGAATTTAATGAATGGTCAAGTTGGACTTATGCTACTAAGGACCCACCAAGAAAAGATGAACCCCTGAAAATCCCTGAATCTGTTGAGAAATCTCTAGTCGCTGAAGTAATATACAAATTATTGGTCTTTGTTTCTACTTCTTGTTGTAATGTATAAAGTCCCTGAAAACGGTGAATATGTGACAATCAACAGTTTCGCTTGATGATTTAGGTCATAAAGACGCATGAGGATCCAAAAAATCGGCCTAAAAGAGAATTGAAACTAGCTGATAAGCCCCCTGCTCAGAAGATGATTCCCTATCCAGTCATCTCTCACGATCATGCGTAAGTTTTGAATAAGTTGGTTTGCTTATCCCCTTCTCATTCTTTCTGTTTCTTAATAGATTGCTGATATGCTATTTATTTGTAACAAGACTGGAGAAAGCAGATTCAGAAACATGGGGAAAAGGTTACAAATCATATCATTGCTATGGATTCATAACAAACATTGAGGATTCACAATATTCAGTGTTCAGCTTCAATGGTGTCAATGCATTATTTTACAATAAGATAGCATACTTTATAATTGTTCATTTACTAGGTATAGTCTGGAAGAGGATGGAATGATTTATGCATTACACAACTGTTCATGATGCCTGAAAATAAATTGCATTTCTACCAGAAGAAGGGTAAAATTAGAGAAGAAACAACAAAATAACTATTTTCCTATTGACATGATATAACGCAAGCTCATAGTTAATGTGTTGCAGTAATGTATTTGGAAGTTTTAATGTGCTGATGTATTAGTTGTTATGTTTCTAATATGTTATTTTGCTGTCAAGACTGGTGAACTGGAGCTCAGGCAACTTGGAGTTGCAGCAACTCATAGTAAGCTTGACCCAATGGTAACTAATTTCATGAAAGTTCATTGCGGACAAGAGATATACATGTTAAACTTTCTCGGATCGTTTGCTCTATCCTAGAGTGGACTTACAATACCTGATTCCTTGGTTTTAGGTATGCTTTGATGTAAGGCTCATTCATACTTTAGTGTCTTCTCTGTTTTAGCGGTTCTGGAGAATGACATTTATTATGGTTACTGGACAGGTGAGGAAACTCTCCTAGAATTTGTGCAGAAACTGAAGTCTAGCCCCAGTGAACGAAAGCAATTGCGCTGTGGTCTGACTTCAATTCAATATGAATCTTGCACATTAATATTCATTGACAGCAATTTTCTGAAAACAAGTTGATAAGAGATTCTTGGAATGATCCTACAGGCTGCAGCTGCGTTTGAAACTGTAAGAGACATCACTACTATTTCCCATATCTTGAGAAGATCTATGAACCTTTATTTCACCGCTATAAGAAGTTAGCATGCTCAATTTCCCCCCGTGGAAAAAGATTCAAATGATTATAAAATGATAGTTGACTGTTTTGAGAAGATCTATGAACCATACAAAGTCAAAGAAGTAGTGAGCTCATTTCAATTCCCTTTAAGCTGTATAATCTTGATGATTTCAGAGTAAATCAAAGAATACAATATCATTGACATTTGTTTCTATCTTGTAGAGTTATGGTTTTTCAATTGAAAGGATCTTTGCAGTTGAGCTGGGTAGATCCCCCTTTTTGGAAGAAATCAGCAAGCAGCCAAATAAAGTATTGTTATGGTGTGGTAAGGGGTCAAGTATCATGCTTAACAAATTGTATATCTTAATTAATGTTTTTTCAGGACCATCCTTCACCATTTCTTGTCCACCATGTTACTACAGTCTCCTCACAGTTACGAGTTGCAAGGCCTCCAGTTAAAGGATGAATTAAAAATCAGTTGCTTCCTCATCACTGGCCTTGAATAAATGACCAAGAATTGCAGAAAATGTGCGAAGAGAATGGTATATAGGTTTTTGATTAATAAATTTTTTTTTAGGTCCTGAAAAATACCTCCTTTATTCCCATGGGATCATCTTGATGTGTTTGTTTTCTTGATAAGCTCCAGCTGCTGTGATTAATTCAAAAATGAGGTTGTCGTTAAATCATGTGATTGTGTCCTTATTTGCAAACAATGTACATTCTTCTCTTACCTGTCGTAATTTGGTTTCTTTTCTTCCTTCAAGGCATTTTTTGTTGCCTCGCTCATCTTTCTTTCTGATAGGATTGTTTAACTATTGATACTCATAGTTTCCTGCCTTTCTCACTTTTGTTTTACGTCTGGGTTTTCTTACTTGCTTGCTTTCCTTAATTAAAGGGCCACACTGAGAAAGTTCTCTTTCACTTTAATTGAAGTAAGAGAAAATGCTGAACAAGTAATGGCTTGTTATGGTACAAAATCAATAATTTACAGGTTATATTGGCAAGAGTGCTGAATTGCTTTCTGTTTTCCTCTTTTTGGCCTTTTTCTCGAATAAAGTTGGTGAAAGAATTAGCTTACTGCTGGGTTTAGACAACTTGCATTCTTCAAATGTAGCTAAAGTTCTTCGATTTATCCTTCCCATTTCAGTTGGGAAAACAAAGTAACAAATCTGTTATTCTGTATTTAGGAATTGTCTTGAATGCAACCCTTTAAGTGAGAATTTACTTCAATCTTTTCAATCTCCATCAGTTTGCAAAATATTTTGGATTGAAGAATCCGGATGGATCTTGAACAAGGGAGATTTGGGAGCACTCTTAAGGTTCGGCTATTGGCAACGTCTCATATTTATGGTGCTTGTTTGAGCTCTTACAAGATGATTTTGTGACTCTCCCCCAACTATTCAATTTTTGTGCGGAAAAATTGTTGGAAGAACACGCTACTGTTAGTCTATCAAAGTCTTGGAGTAGTGTATGGTGACTTGGGCATTTCCCCTCTTTATGTGTACAGGAGTTCTTTTGCCGAAGATATTCAGCATTCAGAGACCAATGAAGAAATTATGGGTGTTCTTTCTTTTGTCTTCTGGACTTTGACTCTGGTTCCTTTATTCAAGTATGTTTTTATAGTTCTTTGAGCTGATGACAATGGAGAGGGTATGGCCCAATTACCAAAACAGTTAAAATGATAGAATAATGGTGTTGATGAAGCTCTGTCTACATATAAACTCAAGCATTCTCTTCAAAGAATCAATAGCTCTAAGGTAAAAACTTTTCTTGAGAAGCACAAACCGTTGCACACTGCTCTACTCATCTTGGTACTCCTAGGCACTTCCATGGTAATTGGGGATGGGCTGCTAACTCCAGCTATCTGGTAAAAAAAAGTTATTCGGTGCTAGATTTTGATGAGTTTTAGATGGTTATCGAGCAATTATGTGACAGTAATCTCTTCCTTAATTTGCAATTTTCTCAGCTGTGTCTGGTCTGGAGCTATCCCTGTCTAAAGATCAGCATCAATGTAAGTTTGTAGAAAGAGAAGCAACTTTTCCCCATAGACAGCAGATGATACAAATTCAATGGCTAATTTATTATTATTATTATTATTTTTGTTAAATTCCTGAAAATGGCAAATTATGCTGTTATGATATGTGTTACTTCTATTTGCCCTTTCTTTTATGTGAACAAAATCTCTAGATTACTCCTGAACAAAGGTCGTAGGGTATGATGGTGCCACGAATATTTCTCTTACCTAATTTAGCTTTCTTCTGGGATGTCTGAATCTTAGCTAGGGTGTACCTGTAAAGTGACATTTTCTTTACAAATTCAATGGCTAATTTATTATTGTTATTATTATTTTTGTTAAATTCCTGAAAATGGCAAATTATGCTGTTATGATATGTGTTACTTCTATTTGCCCTTTCTTTTATGTGAACAAAATCTCTAGATTACTCCTTAACAAAGGTTGTAGAGTATGATGGTGCTACGAATATTTCTCTTACCTAATTTAGCTTTCTTCTGGGATGTATGAATCTTAGCTAGGGTGTCTCTGTAAAGTGACATTTTCTTTACAAATTCAATGGCTAATTTATTATTATTATTTTTTTGTTAAATTCCTGAAAATGGCAAATTATGCTGTTATGATATGTGTTACTTCGATTTGCCCTTTCTTTTATGTGAACAAAATCTCTAGATTACTCCTTAACAAAGGTCGTAGGGTATAATGGTGCCACGAATATTTCTCTTACCTAATTCAGCTTTCTTCTGGGATGTATGAATCTTAGCTAGGGTGTCTCTGTAAAGTGACATTTTCTTTGACAAAGAAAGAGTGGACCTTTTTAGCTTGGTAAGGTTAGATTAAAGAGAATAACCATTAGAAATTCTCTCCCTCTCTCTCTCTCTCTCTCTCTCTCTCTCTCTCTCTCTCTCTCTCTCTCTCTCTCTCTCTCTCTCTCTCTCTCGACTTATGCTGTTCGGTTTTTTTTCCATGCAATCTGTTAAAAGTCATGGGTTGTTTGGCCTTTGTCATGTGGAAACATTGTTGGAAAAAGTTGCTTGATTGTTCATTCAATATTCTTTTGCTATTTAGGTGGAGTTTCTGCACAAAAAAAAAAAAAAAAAGGCTAGCTAACTGCCTAAAATGCAGTTATTAGTTACTTGTTAACTGACTAGAATAGCTGTGTTTTTTTTCCCTCCCTCTTTGATTGTACCCCAATATGATTATCTTATTTCTCCCTGTGGTTAGCTTTCCTCAAAGTTATATATGCCAACAGATAGAAGATTTGGTGTAATGTGTCATGCCAAATTACTTATTTGGATATACCTACTTTAAGCCGTCACTTATTTGCATATCCCTACTTATTCTAGCTGAAGAAAACATAATACATTTTCACTTTAACAAATTACTGAAATTAGTTGCTGGTTTCTAGTTCATATTTATCATTTGTGTCTTTATCTTTTATTGCAGATGCGGTAATTCCAATCACTTGCTTCCCTTTTAGTTTTCAATATTACAAAAGATTCTGCTTGCATGCATCATGGATAGGTGATATTTCCATTAAAACCAATATTCTGGTAGGAAATGACATGATCAATTGTTCAATTGTATCAACTATTGGAATTTCTCTATGGTCATGATCAAAAGAGTTACAAGCCATGGAAAAGATTACTTGGAGTACTCCACCTTTATTGGTGCTGGTTTGCGAAGTCAAATAAATGGAAGATCGAGGGAGAACTTGGAAGAAAGGAGAGACCGATCTATACCCGGTATTGAATGAACACATATTGTTATTGCAGCTGCGAAATTTGTAGTTTTTACAAACTATATTGTATCTAATCATCTCAATACTTAACTTATACTCAATTGAAAATAGTTGTATTTCATATTAACATCTTTTTACTAAGAATTTCACATAATTTGCTGAATATTATTTTAAAACTTTCCTACTTATCAATATGGGAAAAATACTGGGCTGCCGCTCCCTTTCGCTGCACAACGTGCAGCCCCTTCCCCTAGTAAATAATTTCAAGTGGTAGTTCAAACATTAAGATAATAGTGAACTTTTTATCTCTTTAATAGTTTATTTTGTTATGTTTTTCTATTTTTAACAATTAACATTTCTTAGAAGATAAATTGGACTACTATTTAAGTGGATTAGTACTAGTTTTTCAACCACCTGTAGCTCAGGCTTTTTTTTTTATTTATTTATTTTTCCTAACTTTCAATTCACGACGCCTTTTTTCTTTTATTATTTGTGAAATGCTTGGAGAGCTAATTGATCATGGACACAAACTTTTCTTCTTCTCTTCCTGCTTGTTTTCTTTTTCATTCTTTTGTTTTTGGTAGAGCCAATACAAATTGTTAAGTTTAATCATTTCCAATTTTCAAATCTTTCAAATTCTCCCTTCGATATACTAACTTCAAAATATACAACCAGAATTATTTTCCCCCTTTCTCCGGATGATAGATTTAAAGAATGTGTTGAAGTTGCATATTTTCTTTTCGTTCGTCTAGCTAGAACACTCCCTTATGTTATTGACCAGTAACATAGTACAGTAGAACGTCGCTAAATTAATAATCTATAAATTAATAATTTTTAATAATTAATAATTTTTTCCGATTCCAATTTGGGACCAGTACAAAAAGTGAAAAAAATCAATAAAATAATTAATAAAATAATAATATTTTAGAAAATCTCCTATATATCTATAGGTCCCAGTAATAACATAAATTAATAAATACCCTAAAAGTAAAAAATAATAAGTATTACAAATATTTAATAAAATATGAACTGTTGATACCTATTTTTTGAGTTTGTGGAGATGATATAAACTATGTATAGACTTTTAGTATTCATGAGAGTTTTAATACTTGATTGATTCGGATGTAAAAATAATTGCAAATTAAAAAATTTAGATATAAAAACAATTGCAAATGAAAAAATTTAGTGACGATTCTTTTTTCTCATACAAATTCTTTAAATTAATAATTTATTAATTTATACATTATTTAATAATTCACTAAATTAATATATTTTGATGGTCCCAACAGCATTAATTTATATAGAAGTTTGACTCTTCAATCCCTTACGTGATGCACACAAATTTGTGTTGAATCAATTAGCTCTCCAAGCATTTCAATTCAAGCATCATTATTTATTTTATCAAAAGATAGTCTTTGAGAACAATACCTGCCCATTATAATCACCGAGCTAGGGATTGACATTTTGGCTCGTTGTTTTTTTTGTTTTTTTCGGTACAAACATTTGGCTAGTTGTTAAACACAAAACGATCAAAATTTGGCAGCCTGTCGATTCCAAGGACCTTATATTCTGATTAGTGTGGTTTGTTAGATTAAACATCATAATTATGTCCACTCAAGTCCACTTAATTATCTTGATGAATTTCATAAGTGCCTTTAATGAATTTGATTGGATAGTCATATTGTATCGTTATAAAAACTCAATTTTATTTTCCAATCTATCTCAAATAGTCTAAAGAAACTCTCCCTTCCATCGATTTTTTTATTGGTCTCTTCATTAATATCACTAAAGTTGAGAGGAAAAGGAGCGAAAGAAAGAGAGAATTACAGACATAAATTCTCTCATTTTATGTATCGAATATGATAAAGATTCGTAAGGATTTCATTGATAAGAACCTGATGAAGTAGTTACGATAAACCGATTTGAATTCTAAACGATTATGACTTTTGTTACAATTTAGTCGCGATTAATTGAATTTTAAAGTTTTTTTTTAACTTTTAAATTCACTAAATTAAGGAATTGACACATAGGATTAAATGTTATATGGCTTAACCAAATACCATTAGATTTGTCTCTATGGAGTCTCTATGGAGTTTCCTTAGTATAGTAAAATAGTACTCCCTCCGTGCTATAATTATTGTCTAGTTTGGGTTATTATTTTTAGTTCAAATTGTATTAAAAGTGAAATTTCAAACTGGATAATAATTCTCATAATTATTGTCCAGTTTGAGTTCTCATTTTTAGTTCAAATTGTACTAAAAGGTAAATTTCAAACTGGACAATAATTTTGGGACAGATGGAGTATATCCTACTATATTAGAAACAAAAACCTCCCTTTCAAACACCTTATATGATTGCCACGTGGCATGTAGAAAATACTAAATTGCCCTTTTGTCTAACCATAACTAAATTACTAAATCTCCCTTTGCACTTTACGTGACACGTTTTTTTTTTTAAATTTTTTCTTTATGTTTCATTCAACTAGAGTGGTTTTTTAAATTGAATTGATCAATTAGGTTTTTTGTTACAAAGTGTCAATTTTGTTTTAAGCGTATACCCTTTGGATGAAGCTTATTACAAAGTTATTAAAAATCTCCAAAACTAAGTATTGATTTGGCACGACCAATGGAGAACATCAATAAATCATCTTACTAATATTTAAATTTATTAGGATGCTTTTATATTTTATCTAACATTTACTTCAACACATATATTCGATTAAGCTATTTATATTTAATAAGTAACACTTATAAAACATTTCTAAAACATACATGGCGAAATACAATTTATTTTTTTTTTGCGAAATACAAATATTTCTATGATCACACTTATAAAACATTTCTAAATCCTTCAAACATTTCTAAAATATATTGCTCCAAATACAAAATTTTATTTTTTTCAAATATAAACATTTCTAAGATCTACAGATATACTGGGCCAGGGTCGCGCACCAGACATCACTAGTAATATATAGATATAAATAGATAGATAGATTATAAATCATTTACAACTGGAACCAGAAGAAGTTCAACTTCAACTATATTTCTCCCAAAATCTCAACCACCTGTCGAACTCCTCAGCCGGCATCGTCGGCCACGCACCGCCGCCTCCACCGTCGACAAAAACAAAGTTCTTCAAGAGGAACAAATATTGGTTAAGATAGCCGGAAACAATTAACGGTTAGTATTTTTTGGCCTGTTACAAATTGCCGCCTTCTTTTTTCGCTTATCGAATCTTTATGAAATAATAGTAATACAGATATTTGGGCCCTAAACGGAGGAGATGAATTCGTTGCCGGAAGAAATTTTAAAGGAGATTATGGTGAGGTTGCCGATGAAGTCAATATTAAGGTTTAAGGTAGTTTGTAAGGCATGGCATGCTTTAATCAAAAGCCCTTATTTCAGTGACCAGCATCTTAATCACCAACACCAATATTTGGACAATAAAAACAATCACAATATGATATACATCACTGAGTATGGGTGCTTGAGGGAGGATGGGAAGGAAAACTTGGCATCAAACCATGATGTCTTGATAATCCGCCAAGGTAGTAAGAAATCGAATGTTTTGTGTACTTGTCGGAGATTGACTTACTATGACAAGAAATCCCGGCAGCTTTGCGGAGGATCGTGCAATGGAATCCTCTGTTTTTTTGACAGGGACGGGCTGATTTGGCTGTGTAATCCAATTACTCACGAGTATTTCGAAATCCCTATCACCAACAACACGCGGATTGAAGGTGAAGGTGTTAATAGGACAGTTGAATTGGGATTTGGGTTTGATTCGATCACCAAAGATTACAAAGTCATCAGAATACTGAGATCGGGTACAGGGATTTATAAGCTGAGCACGAATTGCTGGAGCCGAGTTGAGCACAAGAATGGTGACATTGACTTTGAACATGTTCGTTCCATCAATGGTGTTGGTTCTGGTGTATTCTTTCATGGTTTCCTTCACTGGTTGGTTGAAACTAGAAACATTATTGATCCTGCAGACCCAAATCGCCGTATCCTCTCCTTTGATTTGCATTCTGAAGAATTCGGATGGTTAGATATTCCGGATCGTGATTTGCATTCTGAAGAATTCGGATGGTTAAATATTCCGGATGGCGAAAACCAATGTGTAGATACGCTGGCGATTTTGGCTGATTCCCTCGCATTCGTCTCCAGGGCGAACCGTGCGAGTTTTGAAGTGTGGGTGATGCGGGAATATGGAAATGGTGAATCTTGGACGAAGAAGTTTGTGCTTCATACACAGATGGGTGGATGGAGGCAATTGACTTGTTGGAATGATGACGAGCTTTTACTGTTACATGATGATTCCGGAGACTTGATCTCTTATAGGCACCTCCTTCAGAATCGCTTTACAATGGAACCAATTGTTACGACCCAAATTCATCATCCCAATCTTGTAGAACCATATGATCGTACTAGAGCTGTCATTTTTCAACCAAGTTTGGTTTCCATCAGACGGAAAACAAATTAATGCTTTTTTTTTCTGTCAGACGGCCGGCAGTGATTTTCCGATCTGGCGGTCAGTAATGCGCCTGATAATCGAGATCAGTCACGGGGGTTCCAATGATGAAGAACCTCGTAGTTTTGATAATTCCTTGAGCTTATGTTGGAGATGTAGCCTGTTGTCTCCCCCCTGTTTTTTTTTGGGTAATTTCATACTCATTACCGTTAATTGTTTTTTCAGCTTTATCTTTTGTTTTCAATTTTAAGATATACTCTCAGAGTTTCAATTTTCTTCATTGTGTTTCCTTTTAATTATTTTTTTTTCCTTTTAAAATAGAAAATTCATTGATTTTTTTTTATTTATTTTTTTTATGGGAAAAGATGCTTTCATTCATGTATGTTAGAAATCATGTAGCTGGCTTTTGATTAAAAGTTGTAAGAATATGCAACCATATATTACATTCCTCTCAACTATTTTTTGCTAGCTCCGCAAACTTGTGTGCTAAAGAAACTTTGGCGAACACCACAAGTTTTAGTAACCTCCAATTTAGCGTAAGAAATTATCACATGAATGGCAGAGTATTTCATACCAAATGCACAATAATAATGTAACCATACAGGATTCAGTGTGAACACATTTAATCAACTGGAAGAAAGAGCTATATGATGAGCCCTGAAAGAGCAAAAGCTCCACAACCCAATTGTACATATTGGACCAGTAACCGAAACTGAATTCAGATTCTACATCACCATTAAGCATGATAACCATGACAATGAAGACTCAAGCCTGATATTGAAATGGTTGGAATTGATCGACCCTCACATTAATTCAATCTTGTTTGTTTGCTTTTGGCAATAGAAGTTCACTTTCACTAGCTCAGATCCATAAGCTTTTTGAGTAGAAATGAAAGCAATTGATTTTGTTTGGGTAGTTTCCGAACCATGTGATTACTTCTCTAGATCATGTTTATGGTGATACAGGTTTAGCTTCTTTTTTTTTTTTTTTTGTAAACCGTACCTGGTAGAGCTTGTCTTCCCAATGGTTTCACAGAGGCAGCAAAGGATATTGGTGTTTCCTTCTGCAATTGGGCACCTTCATCTCAAATACTGAGGCATTGCGCCAACGACTTGAGAACATTCAGGGATGGAATTCGGTCAGGAAAGCGTGGCGACAGGCGAATGATGTACCAGTGATTGCACAGCCCCTACATGCAGAACAACGCGCGAATGCTGCAATGTTAGCCGATGATCTCAAAATGGCGTTGAGTCTAGCTGGGTGATATTATAAGAGAAAGATAATGATCGACTTGGTGGGGCAAGTTTGAAATCACAAATGCAGTGAAGAATCTGATGGAAGGTGAAGGGCAGCAGATTTGCTTAGATGGACACAGCAGCAGAGGCGTGGAGTGAAGATGGCTCTTCTACAAAACCTATGGCTGAGTTTAGCATGCAAATGGGAGAAACGATCTCATGCTTAATTTGAATTAGGGCAGCAAAATCATCATACACTATTTTAACTTATTATTCATAATTAATCTTCGGTCATAATATACTTTCCATATATTATGAATATTAAGACCAATTGCGTATGTAAGGTAATCTTACAGCATGCCAGTATAATTTAAAGGATGAAAATAACATGTATGAGGAGTGAGGACCTATCTATTCTGCAAAAAGAGTTTAAAGGGGCGAAAAGAACTGCTTTAGCCCTGCTTAGTTCAAATAATCACGATGGTATGCTCAGTACTAAGTGGAGCAAAAGAATACAAACTGACAATGTAACTTGCAAAATTGTCTTTCAAAGGCTAAGGACATTATACTATCTTTTTCAAATGTAAAGCGATGGTAAACCTCTGCAAGCTAGCCATCATTCACTACCCTGTTCCTTCCTGTGCACAAAATCCTATCCATCAATCAATCAATCTTCACAGAGGAGTAAATGAGCCTCGTAAACCAGAAGCAAGCATAAAAGCCGATGGTGCCGGTGAGAACAAAAAATGCATATGATGCGATGAGCATGTACCCGAAATACAACATCCCTGAGATGGGCTTAGTAATTTCGAGCTTAGTAAAGAAGTAGAACGTGGCATAGAGAAAGAGGTACAGAGCAGATGAGCCTGATGTCAGATAAGATCTCCACCACCACAAGTAGTCCTCACTACACAGCTGGAAATAGCAGAGCACAACTGTAATCTCGGCACAGGTAATGATGAGAATGACCAAGACGATGAAGAGGAATCCGAAAAGATAATAGAACTGATTCAGCCAGATTGAGGTGAGAATGAAGAAAAGCTCAATAAAAACAGCTCCAAATGGGAGTATCCCTCCAATGAGAGTTGAGAAAATAGGATTCATATACCACGCCTGCTCTGGGATCTGCCTGGGAATCTTATTTGTCTTTACAGGATCCTCAATTGCTGGCTTTCTGAATCCAACGTAACTGCCCACAAAGACAAGTGGAACAGAAATTCCAAACCACAAAAGCACCAGCACAAACATGGTTCCAAATGGCACAGCCCCTGAGGATTTCTGGCCCCAGATGAGGGCATTTAAGACAAAAAAGATCGCGAAGACTGTCGCTGGGAAAAGAAACGCAGTTCTCAGGGCCACTCTTTTCCAGTCAGTTCCCTTGAACATTTTGAATAAGCGGGTTGAGGCATAACCAGCAAAAATACCCATGAAAGCCCAAAGGAATAACATAGCTGTCATAAGGCCACCACGGTTTGAAGGAGAGAGGAAGCCAAGGACAGCAAACATCATCGTGACCAGAACCATACAGAAAAACTGGACACCTGTTCCAACATAAACACAAAGCAAGTCTGAGTTCTCTGGGGCTCTGAAAACATCCGCATGAACCAGTTTCCATCCAGTCTCTTCCTGAGCTTCTTCTTGGGTCTCAAGTTCATTGTACTTGGAGATATCACGGTAAAGTGTTCGCAGCATGATCATTGCAACCATGCCAGAGAGGAAGAGAACAATCATCAGAGAATTGACAATTGAAAACCAATGAATTTGATCATCACTCATCAGGAGGTATGTATCCCATCTTGATGCCCACTTCACATCACTTTCCTATATTTAAACCAAAGGATGAACATGCTCAGAAGCCACTTAAATATGTAATGCAATTAGAAGGCAAACAAAAAAGTCTTCATAAAGCAAACAAGCACCCTGATGTTAGAATATCCAGAAATGCTAACAGTAAACACTTGCTGGAACCAAGGTTGAGGTAAATTTACACTACCTGAAAATCCACATCATATGTAAATATAATTTCTTGTTTAGCTTCAACAACTTGAGGAGAATTTGAGTTGGAAACAGTTCTCTTTGCGTGGGGATCACAAGTGGCTAAACGAGTATTGGTGCTCCATTTTCCATCATACGAGTGCTTAACACTGGACAGTAAGAGCAAAACCATGAGCAATTGAAACACACAATTTGATTGACTCATACAGCCATCATCAACGTGTGAATAATGAAGTAAGGCATCACAACAACCAACCTAAATGGCTTAACTTCAAAACCAACAATCCTAGCAGAGTCGGTCTCCTCGTCTTTGTGGTACTTAACAATAAACGACAAGTGGTTGTTAATAAAAGCTTTCTCATCCTTGCTCTGCAAATGAGAAGATGTGGATTAAAAGCAGCAACTTATATTAAAGATCGCAAGACTTTTGTGATGAAAATGAATCTACTTACACCAGCATATTGAGCCTTAAGCCCAACAAAATAGCCAAGCTGATAAAGGGGACGGGCTTCTTGGTCCAACCTCTGAATGGGAACAACCAGAGGAAGATTATCAAGGATCCTGCAAACAAATCAGTTAGATAATCCACAATAAACTCAACAATAAACCAGATAAAAAAGCAATTGCTTATTTAAGTTGCGTGAACCCACATGTTGACGCGATACTCGTCTTCAATCTTCTCTTTAAATGCTTTAGCTGTATCAGCATCAAGTGTAATTCGACAGAGAACACGGCATAATTCTGGCTCCCTCATTTTAAACTGCAAAACCAAATGAATTACCAACTCTAGTGGCATGGAGAAGGTCAACATTGGCATATTTCATACATAATTACACTAACCACATATGGGGAGTTTTCTATGCGGTCGCCACGCAGCACTTCCCCAAGATTTTCCCTGCTATCAACTATCTTTTCTGGATGACAAAATGGAAGAGAGTAGTACGAATAAGGAAGCTGAGTTCTGGTTGAAGTCAATTTGTTCACTTTCACATTCAAGCTATCCCCCTGCATTGAAAAACACAGAAAGGTTTTAACCAAAAAAAAAAAAAAAAACCCAGAAAGGGAAGACAGAACAGACTATAAATAAAGCATAGATTATCGCAAGATTGTGACAGTATTAGCAGGTTTGTAATATATGTCAGGTACTTTACAGAAGATTAAAAAGACGAACAACCAAAAGTTTTTTCATACCATTATGAACAGAACTTCCAAATGAATGTCAAAATAAATATCGAGGCACAAAATAACAGAAGTGCAAGGCAAGATCACATATTAAAAGAAAGTTAGATACGGTGTCTCTTCATTATTTAAGCTACATATATTCCCCATGTAAGCTACCCAGGTCAGGCCTTAAAGTCCGTTCGATGAGCATTGCTTTTTTTATTGTAGTCATATATTTGCTAATCTATTTAAGTTCAAGTACTCATGCCTAGCTATTTTTTACACTGGCATGTCAACGATGTAACAAAATGAGTAAAGTAATGGGAAAAGGCTTTCCATTATCGTAACAAAATGAATTTTGAGTACACATCATCATCTAAAGTACTCTTTAGAAGGATGAGCTCACACGTTAGGCCCACAGTTCAGCTACAGAATCTCCAATTATCCACTCTCTTTGTAGGCTAAAGACAATCAACTGTACATGAGTTCTTGATTAGCATTCATATATATCAGGTTCCTTTTTAGATATTCTTAGAGTTGATGACATTCTATTTTCTACAAGTCAACAGTATCTAGTCAACGAAGACATCACACCTAATTCCAGTGTGTTTCTCTCAATATCTGAACTAATGAACCAGAACTAATTTCTTTCTAATGCATTCATTTTATCAACTGAAAATTTAAGTACGTGTTTAGGTTGTCCACCACTTTGATCCGTATGACAGTATGAGATAGAAAACCATCAGAACATAATTGCTTAGCCTAATAAACTTTTGTTACTCAGGAAAAAGAGCACTCGGTATCAACTAGGACAAAGCAATATTCAACATAAACAACAAAGTAACTCATAACAATTTCCACATAGTATGAAGAACACAATAACGATAAGTAAAATGATCTAATCTAACAGGAAAATCATGAAAAGGACTCCCAGGCCAGGTAACACGCTAAACCCTTCCTGACTAACACAAAAGATATGCTAAACAAACACTAATTCCAAACACTAATTCGATCACTGTCGATCATTGATCTTTTTGCCACATCTATGAAAATAAACAGAACATAGTGTCGCAAATCAAGATTCCAATTGCTATGATAAACTAATTCAGTAGACACCATAGGTTAGGCTATGCCTACAACCAAAGTCGAAACCTGTCTGCAGCAAATATCAACCCCAAGAGAGTTAATAATAGGCCATCACGCATATTAAAAAGAATGCATATCTGAACCAAGGAACCATGACCAAATTATACAAGTTTTTCCAACAAAAAGTTCCTACTAATGTTTTCAATTTCCCCAGTAGACTCTTGCTCTTCTGAGGTTGAAATTAAATGATCTATTCAATTAGAGTTACTTCTCACCCAATGTTATGTTACAAAAACCAAAATGCTAAACTCCATTTCATTTCCCGTGATCTTATCATCAAGCACTCAGTTTCTAAATTGACCGAGCACTCCTACTCCAATTCACCAAGACCCAAAAAAAAAATACAGAAGCCACTTCGAAACCCAGAAGAAAAGGAACAAACAAAAACAATGGCGCCCAATTAATCCAATTCAACACAGATCCGGTACACAAATAGCTTCAGAAACATTGCATAATCAAAAGGGTTGTAAAATTTTTCAAGAACCCAATTGCATAAGAAATGCATACCGTGCGAAAATCTTCAGGGGCCACACCAGGAAGGTAGAAACCACTCGCATTGTGAAAGCAAAGAAAAAACACAACGGCTGATGAAAGTAACATGTTTAGCGCCATTTCCACAGATCGATTCCTTCTTCCCATTGCTATATCTAGAATCCAATATTCCCTTTTTAACACAATGAACAGAACGGTTGGGACTGGGATTTCAGATCCACCACATTTGAGTAAGAAACACGATTGGGTGAAAATGAAAAAGGATTTTTTCTTCTGACTGACTTTTGCTTTGGCTTAGCAGTGGATTCAACGTAAATTTATGTTTATTGAGAGCGAGGACTTGTCGGTGCAGTTTTAATATCGTTTGTTATATTATACTTTCTCACCATAGTCTTTTCCATAATTACGTTTAATTCCCACTCATTATGGCAAAATATTAAATGTTGACCTCTTTTTTCCAATTTGAAAATGGCAAGCATGCATTTATGGCATTTTTTTTATTTTTATGCTCTCTGCCGGCTGCCGCTACCCTTTACGGCGATCGCGCCGCCCTAAATTCCAGTGAAATTTTTTCCATGGATCTCAATTCAATTCTGCTATTAAGGAGATTGAATGCTAGGTCTTAGTTTCAAATGTGTTCTCTACGTCCGTCCAAAAAAGTACGTTTCACGTTGTTGAACTAAAACAGTAAATTAAGTTTGTAGAAACGCAAAAACTACCATTTCAATAGAAATTTTTAAAATTGTTAAAGTAAGAAACTAACATTTCGTTATAGATTTTTAAAATTGTAAAAGTAAGTTGAATATGATCGGTTATGAACATGATGTTTTAGCTTGAATTACTGCTTTAACAGTCACGCATTGATATTTCTTGCCAGAGTGCATCTTGCGCATTTTTCTTGTTTAGGATCAAATTAAAAAGAAAAAAAGAAAAGGAAAAGAAATGATTTTCACGCAAAATTGATGATGAACTTTGTATAGTATCGACTATCGACTGTTTTAGATGATTTAATAAAGTGAGTAAAAGTGCGAGTAACTGTATTCTCATAGCGTTTAATAAAAACTAAACTAGTTGAGAATGAGAGAATAAAATTTTATAAAAAAGCCAATATGGGTAAATTCAATAAATTGATGATTGGTAAATCTGAACTCAATGAATAAAATTGCTTAGAAATAATGTGTGCAAAGATAAATTAATAAATTAGTGTTTTACTTTGAATTAATACAAGATGATGTACCAGGATTTGAAAAAAAAAAAAAAAACCTAATGAATTAGGCAGGAAGTAATGTCAACTACATTAAAATGTTGTAGTTGTACTTAGGGACTGTGAGGTTTGTAGTATAGCTTGAACTCTACACACCTAGTTTTGAGATCAAATTGCATTAAGGGATCAGATCGCATTCTGTGCCTAAGAATAACCTGTCGATGAGATTATTTTGTTCATTCATTCAGTATCCCTTAGTTAAAATACAAAAGTTTGTTTGACTCGTTTGCCGGAATTACATTAACCAAAAAGAATTTATGAACGGAAAAAAGTTGTAGTAGTTTCCTAACCATTAACAAAAACATAAGCAATTGGACTTAAGGATATTTTTAATGAAAATAAGAAATCAAAAACAAAGGCATACACTTAATGAAATTATTAAGGAGAACCTAAATAAAATATAAAAAAATAACGTGGTTAAATCTCACTGTTCGTGGAGAATGTCTTGCTTTCAATGCTTATTCATTCGGCTATAGTCCTTAATTATTGGGTCATGAATTGATTGGGGAGAGTAAGACTATTGGACGAAATTTACGATCAAGGGTTTGGCCTATACGGAAGTAGCTTATTAAGTATGGTTTGTCAGTTAAGGGAGGATAAGAACTTTTTGACAGTGACGAAGCATGGATTTGTACGGTGTTTAAGACGGACGGTGATGATGACTTAGGCGGCGGCGGACGGCCTAAAACCTGCAAGACAGAGCCTCGAGTGTCTCCCGAGGGTAGACTCTCCGATGCTTAAGTCAAAAAGGGAATAAAGATAATAGAGAGAGAGATGTGTATCGTGTGTAAAAGGTGTAGAAGATAGGTAGAAGATATGAATTATGAGAGAGGCACCTCCTCTTTATATAGAGGTGGTGTTACCTGTTTCCTGAAACCCTAGCGGAATAGGTTTAGGCGGTGATTTAATCTCCAAGTTATCTAATCCTAGGCCCAATAGGTCTAGGGTTAATTTATGACTCGTCAAGTGCCCCTAGCAAGCCATATTCTCAAGACTTGATGAGAGGAATATGGGTTGCTACTAGTGTTGATGTTTCCTCGAGTTTCGTAGTGTTGCCCCAGTTCTCGAACTCTTTCGTTCTCAAGTGTCACCTACATAAGATAAAGAGAAATACAATGCCTCGAGGAGGTCTTTTGTATTAGAGAGTTCCTTGGTTGCGCGGTCCACCGCGAGTGTCCTTGTTTGCGCAGTGTACCGCGAGTATCCTTGTTTGCATGGTGGACCGCGAGTATCCTTGTTTGCATGGTGGACCGCGAGTGTCCTTGTTTGCGCGGTGTATCGCGAGTATCCTTGTTTGCACGGTGGACCACGAGAATCCTTGTTTGTGCGGTGGACCGCGAGTATCCTTGTTTGCGCGGTGGACTGCAAGTGTCCTTGTTTGCGCGGTGTACCGCGAGTATCCTTGTTTGCATGGTGGACCACGAGAATCCCTGTTTGCACGGTGGATCGCAAGTGTGTAGATCATTGAGATGCAATATTATATAATAATGACATGTAGTATAAGATGCTCGTGAAGAATATCAGTCTAGCAGAGGATGTTAGAATGATCTCTCAAGTTTCTTGCCCCAAGGGTATATCCCCGTTTGTGCCCCAGAGTACGTTATCCCCGTTGAAGGGTGATAGGGTTTTACCGCGAGAGGGTTGGTAATTTGAAGAACTCCTAATCGTGTTTAAAAAAGATATCGTGACATGGTAGTAATATGATAATGATATCACAGTAGATTGATTTAGATTCGAGAAATATATTAAAAAAGGTTTGAGAAATACCTCTGTATCGAGATAAATTGATTACTCGAGAAGGTGTTACCTCGATTCTGAGAAGGTATTATTTGAGTAGATGAAAGTCGAGATACATCTTCTCGAACACTTCGAGTAGTAGTATGGTGCTCGAGGGATACATGCCCCTTCGAGGAGATGTATCTCTCAAAACTTCAATATCAGAGATTGCCCCTTGCTTCAAAGTTAAGTGAACTAATTGAATATTCTGCTCCTTTCGGCTGATTTTGAACTCTAGGGATTTTCTGCAAAATTAAAAACTTTAGGGGTCAAAATCAACAAAGTTTAAAAATTGAGGGACCAATCTACAATTTTTTTGAGATTGCAGAATTTCTTCTCGATCAGCGCAGCTCCTTGAATTACTAGCACGGTTGAATTCTTCTTTGGACTGCCTCTTGGCTGGTACTAATCAACTGGCTGATTCTCAGGCAAAGCAAGAACCAAATTGACGCCAAATAACAAATAACAAAGTCTTTCAAGGGTAGAAAGATTGACGCCATAATAAAATCTAGGAACACCAAAAAATTCCGAACTCGACAAAAAAAAAATTATTTGGTTGTGAGAATCAAACAAATCGGTCCCACCGGGCATGCCACTTGACGAAGCATGGATTTGTACGGTGCTTAGGATGGGCGGCGATGATGACCTAGGCGGCGGCGGACGGCCTAAAACCTGCAAGACAGAGTCTCGGGTGTCTCCCGAGGGTAGACTCTTCGATACTTAAGTCAATAACGGAATAGAGATAATAGAGAGAGAGGGATGTGTATCGTGTGTAGAAGGTATAGAAGATAGGTAGAAAATATGAATTATGAGAGAGACACCACCTCTTTATATAGAAGTGGTGTTACCTGTTTCCTGAAAGCCTAGCGGAATAGATTTAGGCGGTGGCTTAATCTCCAAGTAATCTAATCCTAGGCCCAATAAGCTTAGGGTTAATTTATGACTCGTCAGATAGATCAGTTTAAAATATTCTATGGCAAAATGAGTTAGGAGGGGGGTATGGAAATCGTTTGGTGCTTCAAATTTGGTCGAGTATAACGTGATGATGTTTAAAGAGAATTTTTGTCTCTTAATAATTACATATCAAGCTAAAAGGTAAAAACCGATATCCTCTCAGATCTATCAGACGTAAACTACAAAACAGTTCATTTATTGTTTTATGACATAAAGGGAAAAATTGCGAAGAAATGAAAATAAAAATTTCATTTTTGAAGGAAAAGTTACGTAGTCATGATACTGCTGCCGGTGGAACTGTAACAAAGATATACATATTCTAGCTACCACTTGTGGGTGTTATCGATCAATTTATGTGCAGGAGTCACTTTGTTGTTTACTTAATGTGGAATATATATAGTTTCTAATTTCATCATCATTTAGCAGTGTCTACCACATTAATTAAGCTTTAGTTCTTCAATGTATTGTAGAAATTTTTTTTTTTTGTACTTTATTTTTATATTTATTCAGAAATATAACAACGAAGAACAAAAGCGTATTCATTTTTCGTTGCTACTCATAAACATGTATTATAGTCAGAACAGGCATAAACAGAACTTTCACTTGCATTCATTTGATGATAGAGCAGAGACATTCTGTGTAAAATAGCTGAATAACTCGAAAGTATAGCATAACTAATTGACACATTTGCATTTTCAAAAAAAAAAAAAAAAAAAAAACGGACACATTTGGGACATTTTGGAAGAGGCCAACTTGTGTTGATCCAACAACAGTCTACATATAATAATTATTTCAGTTCATCAAGTTATATTAGCAATGTACCATATTTGAAATTTTGAATGATATACACTAGCTAAGGACTCAGTTTTAAATTTAAGGAGACTATTAACCATTGTCTTCTTTCCCTCCATTTATACATATATATTTTAGAGGAGGCAAAAAACGGATACGAAAGTTAATTTTTGTTGATAAATACAGTTAGGAGATCCCTTGTGGTGACCAGATGGGAAAAATTGAATCAAAGGTGGAAGGAAGCATTAGGTACAATTTACAATTATAAATTATAAAGATATAGTACCTTATTTTTGGTCCCACTTTTAATAATAATACACTTTATTCTTGTGTTTTTATACAAAAATTTAGAATAATTTTCAATGGCATAGAAGATAACGGCAATAAGGGGTTTCAAGAGTTTGTTACTTAGTACTAATGCAAGTAGCCAACTGTGTTTTATAATTCGAGCAAGCTGAGCAAATTTGTAACGAGCATTTCTATATAGACATCAGAGCTCCGAGTCATCAATGTACACCAATCACGCCAGCAACAAACCTCAGGCCTTTGATAAAAAGAGTTAGTTAGCAATGAACGATTAGGATTAAGTTAATTTCGTACTTTTCTATACGATTGCATCAAAGTGTATACATATAAAAAGTTAGAGTCTTTTTTTTTTTTTTTTTTTAACGAAAAACAATCGCAAGCAATCTGTCATTCTTTGTGGAAAGATTGAAGTATTTACAAGAATCCTTTTTTCTATCTTAAAAAACAAGAAAAAAAAAAAGAAAAAAGAAAAAGATATGGACCCCTTTCATACGTTGTCTCCGTGAACTTTAATTACCTTTAGATTCTTCAGGGTTTTTTTTTTTTTTTTTTTTGTGCCCCTTATGATTGGAGCCAGCATAGTTGAAAAACTGGCACTGTCAAAGTTCCAGTAAGAGACTTGTTTATTTTACTTATGAGGTAACGTGTATGCCTAAACCAATTCCCCACAATATCAGCACAAAAAGTGTAAGGCATGCATAAACGTCGCTTAATTTGTTGCATCCTCGTTCATTTTTGCAAGAAGGATGAATCTCAAAAGTATCATTCTAGTGAATAATGGTATGCTGATTTAGCCAAAAACCATACCGTCTCCAGCACAAAGGTTGCACAATATTGCTACAATGCATGCCATGCTATAATTTTGCAAAGAACCATTACCAATTTACCATACATCTCCTGCACAAAAATTGCACATTTGCTGCCCGCAATAGGAGAAGTCCTCCAATCAATAGCACCGCTAACTTTATAGTTGTAGCAAAGCAATTTACATCTGAAGTGTTGTAACTGAAACATTTCGTGAAAAATAAACAAATTGTAATTAATTACACGTGAGAAAAAAAAAACACAATGAAAGTTCTCAGTCATTGGTTTGGGCTGGTGTGTCACGTTTGCAGGACTATTTAGTATATCTGAACCTGACAATGGAGACGTTGGAGACATTCAAACAGCAATAAACAGTGTTGAAGAACCAGACGACCATTTTGGAACAAAAACTAAGGAGATGCATGCATATATATATAAATACGAAGAATTAATCATTCTATTTTGTGAAACAATAATTTAATAGTAGTAATCAATCTTTCACTTAAATTAACTGCCTCCACATTAGTTCTTGAATTCACCTCCTATTTTATATGAATTTGCATCGTTTATCCATGAAAAAAAAAGAAAAATAACATACTACAAATTGCAAGGCAGATTGAAGAGAAAAAGGCAGAAATAAATAGGTTGAAAGAATTGCTTCTCTGAAAAATGAGCACGCGAGGATGATGACTGGTAATGAAATTGGTGTCCCAATTCCCAAATACAAAAACCGGGCAAGTTCTGAAGTTTATCCACCTGAAAGCTATACTCGCACGGCTGAAATGAACAATATACTCCCTCCTTTCCGTACCCAAAGTGGATAATAATTTTGAGACATATGAAGTAGATCGAGCAGTATCTAAACTTGGATGGATTGTCCTTTCGTCATCAACGATTGAGCTGAGGTCTTGAACGCCCTGATCTTTGAGCTAATAGTTTTATATGAGAAAAAATTTTGCAGCATTTGGGGCCTAACTTTACATTTCGATTGTCTTGTTTTCTTTTGTACTTAGACTAAGATATTACGGGTTCATTGTTTTTTTTTTTTAATTTTATTTTTATAGTAAGCTAGCTAGCTAGAAATCCTGATTATCGTGCGTGGCAATTTCAGAAGTTGTACTTTCTTGATTTTATTTTCAACGAAACTTGTTTGCAAGAAAAGAGAAAAAGAAGATTGATTGCACTCTTCCATGCTCAGTACGTGCATGATATACTTTCTTTATAAACCAACTCCACAGTTAACTTACATAATTTCATCCCTCACAATTTTCGATGAGTCATGAGTGAACGTTTTCTTTCTTTTTTTTTTAAAATAATAATAATAATAATAATAATAATAACGAGGATTAACATATATTTTCACCTTAAAAATGATACCTCCCTCCTAAATGAAGAGTAAGTTTATTAAAAAAGATGCAAATCAATTTCATATTGTAAGTTGTGAAATAATACCTTTTTTTTTTTCACTTTAAGGGCATGATTGAATGCGATGGTAAGGATGAAGATTCTTCTTATCGCAGGATGAGAAATTGAAAATATCTTTTGAAACAATCACACCCCCCCAAGAAAAACACAAGGGAGAGGAACACAATTTTTTTCCCTACTAACCAAACATGCCTTTACTCGCAAACAATAATAAGGGGGTTTATTTTAACTTTTTGAATCACGAGAGGGTAACTGCCATTTTTCGCAAATCAGCAGGTTATAGTGAATTAAAGCAAAAGTTAACAATTTAGAAATTCCTACCGGAACAACTGAACTAAAAAGGACAAGGAGACCTTTATTTATTTATTTATTTCTGAAAAGGAAGGAAACTTCTGGAGAGAAGAGAAGAAATGAAAAAAAAAAAAAGGATTCGGATAGCTATAGGGAGAATTTAAAGCACATAACACGGATAGAAATATTTAAATAGATTATTATGAAAAATTAAGAGAATATTTTTAAAAGATAAAAAGTCATAAATCAACGAAATAAAAAAAAGATGAACAATAAGCTACTTTGGATGATTTTGAATATCAAACATTATTTCAAATGTACTATAAATTTTTTTTAAAATAAAAAATTAGGATGACTTTCAGGTTCCGACTAGCTCAAAAATACTCAAGGGGTCTACCCAAGAGTTATTTTTGAACTAGGCAGTGTCAAATGATATAATGCATCTAAGGGGTATATCCAAGGGATGCTATGTGCATCATTTAGTGCCCTAGTTTCATCTCTCACCGAATTTTTTAAACTTAGAGAAATTAATAGCAAGAGAAGAGTGTAGTCATATCCTTGCTGTTTACAACAAGTATCTACTTTAATCTAACTCGCAAGTAAGGAAAAGATAAAAGATACTTGATCTAGCAATACAAGACCCCTAATATGTCTAAGTAATCCTACCATGCTAGTGTACACATCTGAAAGACAAATTGAAGCTTGTCCAGCTAGTCCATCCGAAACTGAATTGGCTTCCCTATAAATGTAAGATATTTTGTAACATCTTCTGGACATTACCGAGTTAATTTTTCATGCCAAAAACCTTCTGCCCAAGTTGTTGCCTCTCCAACAAGTGCGAAGTACTGCAGGGCTTCCACAATTGCACAATTGTGCTATGCTCTGTTGATTCACGATAGAGAGAAAAAAGTGGAGAAGAAGAAAAAAATATTTCCGGTTGAAATCAGTGTGGAATCAGACTGAAATAAGGGGTTTGACCTTTTATAAAGTGGAAATTTTTTGGGCCATGTGGAGCCCACAAATTTTTTGGGGGGAAAATTTCCCTCCACTTTGACCCAACATAATTAATTGTAAGTCAAAAGTGATTAAGGAATAAATTTGATTCTTTAAGGGCCCAGTTTAAATTTTTATAATAAAATAATGACTCATTTGACGGAAAAACGTGAAAACCGTTAATTTGGACGGATATTGGGCAAAAAGGACAAATTGACGAAAGTTGTAATAGCTACGGGTAAAACAAGCTAATTGAAAAAGATTACGGTAAAATTGACAACGAGGGTAAAGTTTAAGATAGATCGGACAATTTTTCCTGCCTCCATGCATGACCATGAGAAATCAGATAAGTAACAGAAAACAAAATAACGTCGTGTCCTTTAATTGGTCCAAGACATTTCAAGATTTCTATTACATTCGGGGCTGGAAGTTTACAAAGGAGAGATGTGGTAGACAAACAATTAAACGAAAATATGTAAAATGTTTGACCATTTTTATTTTTTATTTTTAGACATATCTCTTTTTTTTTTTTAAAAAAAAGAAATCTCTAACCATAGAAGTAACTTAAAATATATTAAGAAAGTGCGACCGCACCCCCTTAAGTCTGTCAGACTGTCTCTTCTAATTCCTCATTTATTTTCATGGCATACATGGTGGTAGCTCCATTCACGAGATAACATCTAATGGCCCCTCACATTTTGACAAATGTGACTTTTAGTCCACCGGAGATTTTAACCCAATTTACTCGTGATTTTGTAGAAATGTGTCTTTGGTCTTTTTCTTTGTTTTTTTTTTCCTAGTCCATTCACCAGTAAAATTTTTTTTTAAAAAAAATAATATTCAGATCAAATGCATAATTAATGTGAGTGGGATACTATCTAAAATCCATTGTTCTAGTGCCATAAATTAATGATTTAGTCTACCAAAGCTATTAAAACAATTAATATACATGCTAATTTATTTGGTTGCAATTAAAGATTTAAAAAAAAAACACAAATATAAGTGAATATTTCAAATCATGTAATAGGAGCTAATGATTTTGTAACAAATTTTTATTGCGACTTGCATCATATTTAAACTTCTTATTCAATTTTTTCTAAACAAAGTTTATTTTTTTTGAGAAGAAAATATTACAATAAAATATGATAACATTGAATGATAATCAATTTAGAGATGACGATCAATAGATGTCTCTCCTGTTACGTTCTCCATTCTACTAATTCTCCAAAACAAATTCAAAGAACAACGTTTTTTTTTCTCTTTTGGAAAAAAAGTTATAAATACCAGATAATGACTACAAATTGAATAACTTTCCGAACAAAGACGCTCTTAAAAAGATCTTTATGAATCCCGAACGATAAATAAAAAATAACTTTCTGAACAATGGCGTTTCTTAAAGGGACGTTATGTCGGACAATGATTACAAAGTAAACAATTATACAATTATAAATTTTACTGGCCAAAAAAATTGCCAAACACCCCATTATTGTTTCAGAATTACGGGATATTCCCTCTTATCGAGCCCCTTTAATTCATGAAAATTTCTTTCTAATGAAAAAAATACAGATATAAAATTTTACAATGAGACGCTCAGACTCTTCTAATATGTTACTTGAACCCCGTGAAATTTATACTTTTGGGGGAAAGGGAAAACAAAAGGATACGCAAAACAGAGAGAAAACCAGAGAGGGCCGAGACTTCAATCTCCATCCCTCAGTTCTGCAAGTTTTCAACCTTGGCGTAAGCTTCTTTTATCTGCAGTAATGGGCCTTGCCCCAACAAAGAGAGGCATGTGCCTGATATTTTATTATTATTATTTTTTTTTTTTTGTTAATTTTTTGTTCAAGTGTGCTAAATGTGGCCTTAGTGGAGTCCAATTTGGTCTCCTAATTCTGGAATACATCTATCTCAATGGAATTGTAAAGTTTGATTCTACTTCAATGTGGATGTTTTAGAGGATTTGTTTGCTCTAAAGCTTGGTCATGGCAGATTGAAAGATTGTTTCCCCCTCTCCTTCAGGCTAGTTTTACCATTTTGAGCCTAATGGGAAAGAATAAGCAAAAGCATCACTGTTTAACTGCAACGTAGTAAATTTTCCAGATTATGATTTTTGGACTGATGATGGATGATGCTACTTTAGTTGATAATTATGAGGATTCTTGGTTTGATATCCAATGCAAGACAAAGTGCTAGGAATCATGATTATTACTGGTGGTTCCTTCTTTTATCTGTGTGATTTTTATGTTGGGAACTTGTGGATTCCTTGAATTATATATGGTGAATCTATGTTTTCAGCATCACCTCCTGAAGATGAAACTGAGCAGCAAACGAACAGAACATCGCTGGGAGATGCTGCGAGTTCCATTTTTGAAAGTGTTCCTCGCAAGCGCAGATCAGACATACCGGTCCGATTAGGTTGAATCTTTTAGTGTCTTTTTAGCTTGATATGAATCATCTGATTTTTGCTGTGTTAATTAGTGAATTCTGCTATGCTTAGAAATCTCTTAATGTAGAGAAGGGAACGGCCGAAAGTTTAGATTTTGATGAAAGAATCTCAACTTCTGATTTAACCTTTGTTGTCTCATTTTAACATGAATGATCTGATTTATGCTTTCTTAGCGAACTTTAATAATTTTGAACTCTCTAATGTTGTGAAGGATCGTTTTCTTCACTGTCTTATTTCGACTAGGTTAGAATAAAATCTTGAAGAGCGAAAGGCAACTTGCATATGTAATGGTATAATAGTGGTGATGCTGCTAGATCAAATTTGTTTAAAAAGGGATAAATCAGCAAATGTAAACGAAAGAATTGAGAATCTAATGTTTCAATGGTAGATAATTTGATATACAGGTTACAAAGTGTAAAGGGTTTGATCAGCTGTTGTTTTTAGATTTTAGTAGGTAATTCAGTTGAGACATCCTTTTGTTTTCCTTTTTATTTCCTATTTGGTTACAAAAACACTACTTCATTGGATCCCATCATTGCAAATTTTAGATTTGCTTAAAATATATGTGCTTGGATAGTGACCCCTGAGAATTTTTTAGGTGTGCCTTTCTTTTTGACTCTGCCTATATTGAATATCTACCGTTGCCAGTCTCAAGCACATATAAATGAGGACGGTTTGTCTGGTCAACATCTCCCATGAACATTTTTCATATTTTATGGCATGGCTCATCTATGAAATTATGCAACGATAAAACATGAGATTGAGATATAATTTCGTAATATTACATACTAGGATAAAGGCTTAATCGTTGTTTTTGACAGGTAGGCAGTTTATGACTGCTTCAGCTCTGAGCTTTGAGAGCTCTGTTTGCAGTCCAGAGGGAGAAAATCCAGGCATAATCCAAGAGCTCCCGAGTAAAAAAGTTGCTGTATGTAAGCGCAAAAGAAAATCCACACCTGATGTGAGTATTGTCAAAAAAACCGAGGCAAACCCTTCCTCTTTTTGGAGCTTGCGAGTTCGTGGACGAAGAGGAGGTTTCTCAAGTTTCGCTCAGCAAGGGAAGTTGGATGATGCAACATTCGAAGAATTCAGGGCGTCAGTTCTTTGCATCCTTTCAATTGATAAGGAGTCATGTTATGTTTTTCCTTTACTATTTTTTTGCATGTTTTTCCTTAATTTGTTGGTATTAAACTGCGTAGGCATATATGGAGTACTTTCCCGGAAGAGAGCAGGAAATCATTCTCGTACCTCGATAGCTTGTGGTTTAACCTGTATGCCGAGGAAAAAGCTCCGAAACAAAAGGTGCTGAATTGGATTAAGAAGAAGGATATATTATCAACAAAATATGTTTTGGTTCCCATTGTGCTGTGGTATGTTTTATCCTAGTTGGTTTGTTTGACAAAAATTCTGAACTTCTATTGACTGACATTTTAATATACAGGTCTCACTGGAGTCTGTTGATCTTATGCAACTTTAATCCAAGCCTTCAGTCCAAATCTCCTTGCATGTTGTTGTTGGATTCCCTTCAACAAACAGATCCTACGAGGCTTGAACCTGGTATAAGGAAGTATACAATCGTTCCTTTGAACTCTTTGACTCTAGTATGCATATAAAAGGGAGTGTTTCTTATCAGTTTCATTCTTTTCTAACTTTCTCTCTTGATAAGGTTCATATTGGACGTATATCAGCTTTACCAGATACCAGAAACTATGCATTCTATTCGCAAAATCCCTTTTCTGATTCCTAAGGCAAGTTGGTTTGAGCCTTTCTTTCCTGACCTTATTACAAAGGTTGTGAATTTTACTAATTGATTTGACAAATGATCTATTTGCAGGTTCCGCAGCAGAGAAATGGTGTAGAGTGCGGAAAGTTTGTTTTGTATTATCTCAACTTGTTCATAGAGAATGCTCCTGAAGATTTCAGCATTAGTGGTTCTGAGGGCTACCCTTACTTTGTGAGTTTATCTGTTATATCTCTATTTGATCTTGAATGATAAAGTCCTGGCTCTATACTGCTGTTAGATTCTGAGTTTTTTAACAATTGCTTGAAATGCGCAATTTGGTAGATGAGAGAGGACTGGTTCACACATAAAGAGTTCGATAACTTCTGGAAAGAACTGAAAGCCAAACAAAATTCTTCGAGCTTACTGGAATAGAGAGCTCAACAGTACCCTATGTAGCTGTTGTATAGGTTGGAGTTGATGCATGTAACCCAGAGAGATCCAGTGGAGATGAACTGATATAATCATATTTCAGGACTTTCTATCCTTTAAAAAATTATTTTTAGCTAACTTCAGGACCTTCATGTAGGCCACATTGTGTTACCTTTTGTATGTCTTAGAACGGAAATGGCATTTCAGGAGTGCCTTTACAATTGTACTCAGTTATCTCTGTTGCCATGTTTTGACATTAAAAACCAAATTGCGGCTCAAGTTATAGTTTGACTGCAGTAGGCTCTGCAAGATCAAAGAATGGAGAACATCTTTTGTAATTGATTCGTACACTTGATTCGCACTCACTTTTGCATCCAGTATCCTATCAGTACCATATAGCAACACTCATACAATTCGGAACATCTTGTGCTCAGAGATCATCCATGATGGGTTGTTAGTGATGCCTGAAAGTTCTAGTTCTCCACTTTCAAACGCTTTCAGCGGGATCTGCAAAAAGAAGACAGTGTTAGAACAGAGGAAATGGAGAAATGAATGACAACAAAATGATCAAAAAAGTCTTTTCAAGTATCATTGGAGCCTCCAATGTTGTTTCATAAGGCCAATATCACTGAAAACAAGATCTTTCTAGAGACATGTGGAACAACAGATCCTATATCAGCCTTGCTTTCCCAACTCAAATTCAGTTCCCAAACTAAAATGTGTTCGCCTGCACTCTCAGCTCACAAATTTGCACTATAGCTTCAAGGCAGACATAAATCCTCAAGCTCTAGGATCTATTTCTTTCATGAAATCAACCAGCCATTGCAACACTGGCAAAACTGACAGCAACAAATCTTCAAAAATATTTTCCATTGCCTACCATTACAATGAAGACTGCATGTTTTGAGATAGATTGCAATAAACTGATAAAACTCATACAATACAGAATAAGAAAAACTTTCAAGAACAGAACTTGTAACATGAAAATGGAAATTGACATAATTTATCAACCAAATTTTAACATGTATGCTACAGTTTTTATGAAGAATCTAGTTGGGATCCAATGCAAAACACTGCGATTTTGATTGAAGAATCAGGCTTCACGGTTCAGGCACCCCCTCTCAGTTAACAGTTAAGAATCTCCTGTCGGCTAACAGTTAAAAGTAGTTTCAAGTCGAAAATAATGTTCATCTGCCATTTTGTTTGTTAATCATTGCTTCAGGAGCCTCAGGCGAAAAAAGCGTAGATCTTTTTAAGTGCTACTTTCAGGTCCACATGTTGGTGGAAATATGGGTAGTATTCGCAAAGGCTCAGGAAAAACGGAAGAAGAAGAAATCCGAGACTCGTGAAAACACGATCTCCTCAAAATAGATTTGCCCCCTCCTGTGGTGCTTGAGGATCTCGAGCAACTGTTTCTCAGGATACAACGGAAACGTAGAGACAACTTAGCACAAAGAAGTTCTACCAGCGAACAAAACTTAGAACACGATGATGAACACCGAAACTAAAAAGAGAAAAAAAGAAAGACTCGAAAGAATACTGAAAGAGAAAGAAGGATTGGCGTGTTAAACTTTGGAAAATGAATGCCTATTTATAGGCTAGAGAAGAACCTTGAGCTGCTGAAGACTTCAAACGATTTTATTTACCATTAAAATGCACTTTAATTCGCAGATTTATGGTCTGGATAACGTTCCAACGTTTCATGCATTCAGACCACCTTATTCTTCTCATTCAAGGCTGAAACAGTCAAATAATTCTGGCCTTTTAAATTAAAACCAGTAATTTATTTGGCTATTAAATGTCTAAATTTATTCCACCGAATTAATTTAAACGTTACATATCCTCTTCTCCATTTTGACTAAAAAAATTTAATTCGAACCGGAGCACCTTATTCTTCTCATTCAATGCTGAAACAGTCAAATAATTCTGCCTTTTAAATTAAAACCAGTAATTTATTTGGCTATTAAACGTCTAAATTTATTCCACCGTATTAATTTAAACGTTACATATCCTCTTCTCCATTTTGACTGAAAAAATTTAATTCGAACCGGAGCACCTTATTCTTCTCATTCAAGGCTGAAACAGTCAAATAATTCTGACCTTTTAAATTAAAACCAGTAATTTATTTGGCTATTAAACGTCTAAATTTATTCCACCGAATTAATTTAAACGTTACATATCCTCTTCTCCATTTTGACTGAAAAAATTTAATTCGAACCGGAGCACCTTATTCTTCTCATTCAAGGCTGAAACAGTCAAATAATTCTGGCTTTTTAAATTAAAACCAATAATTTATTTGGCTATTAAACGTCTAAATTTATTCCACCGAATTAATTTAAACGTTACATATCCTCTTCTCCATTTTGACTGAAATACGTTTTGAGACGTGGAATACGTTTTGAGACGTGGTATAGTATTGGCAAGTCAACTTGCAAGTCAATTTTAGGCTCTCACTTATAAAGTGAGCTCCAACTCTTCCCAACACCCATGTGGGACAAAGTCCCTTAGCCTTAACTCTAATTTTTCCAACTCTTGAGAAACTTAATTCTCATTCACTCTTTTCCAACACCACATACATCAGCGTTTGCAGAATCCATGGACTGTGATTCATTTCTCTGTTCCATTTCAATTTCATGGTTTTATCTTTTTTCAGAAGTGATAGGTGAAGAATACACGCATAGCAAATCTCAGACTGGCATTCGCATTTTCCAACTTGATGTTGATTTTAAAGGGTAAAGACTCTATAATTACTGAATATCATCTTAAAGTTTACCATAAAGCCATCATATATAAATATCGTGTTCAGAATCTATGACCAGAAGAATCTAAACAATGCTCCTTAAAAATTTTGCTGGATAAAGCAAAGGGCTCTCCTTTCCATTTCCATTTTGTAATTTGACAACACGCCCGCAGTTCATCAAAGAGCAACTTCGGCACTCCCACCACCAACACCACACGTTTACTCTGCTTTCGGTCTAACAGCGCGCTTTGTTGTACTCGGTCCACTCATAGGTAAATTAACAATTCAATGAAGCACTTCTATCAAAGGAAAAAAAAATAATACTACCTCTGTCCAAAAAATATACTCACACATTGAATTTTCAAGTTTGTACTAAAAAAATACTACTTCTAGGCTTACTGTTCTTGGAGGGTGTCTTGCTTGCTTTGTCAATGCATTAGGCTTTAATGGCAGTCGTGTCATGAATTTTCGGGTGATGAAGGATTATGGAGAACAAGAGTCTTGGATTAAATTTGTTAGTGTATGTATAATTAGGGTTTGATTAGGGGTATTGTTTTAATATTATTGTAATCCTAAACACTATATATATGTTTGTCAATACAATGTAATATATGAATCTTATACATCTTCATGGTATCAGCCTATTATCCTGGGCCGTCAATTTTGTAGGGTTTTCTTTTCGTCGTTGTCGGCTTCCGTTTCTTCTTCCGGCCACCACTCCGATCTCTTAATCACGTATCCTCCCTCTGATTTTGTCTATTTTGATCCAGTGTGTTGTTGCGTCCACCTTGTTCGTTGGCTTCAGCTGCTTTGATTGCTTCTCCTTCGAATTCTCTGCCGGCCTTCAGTGTTCTTCTTTCCCGCTGCTGACGTTCGGCGGCCATCGTTCCCACTTCGATTTTTCGTCGATTCCGCCCCTTGCTCAACTGAACCCTCTTCATCAGTCGTCTTCCTTGCCTCTGTTCCTCCCTTGTTGTGCCGCTTCTTTTGCTGTTGCTGGGGTCGTTGTTAATTTCTTTTCTTTCTGCTGCTGCTGCTGCCGGTTCTTCTTCACAAGTCACAGGCTCTGTTGCTGCTGCTACATCTTCGCCGGTTGCTGTTTGCATCAATTGCTCATGCCTGCTGCGTTGCTTTCTGTTTTCTCTGTCGGCCGATGTTGCTGCATTCTTCACCTTGCTGCGTTGCATCTCCTGGGGCCGCCGTTGTTTCTTGCCGTTAATATTGTCATCCACTCTTACACCGCTGCTGCCTTGTTGTTTCTTCGCTACTGCTGGTTATAATTTCGGCTACTGCTGCTTTTCGTTTCTCCTTATTCTTGTTGTTGTTTGCTGCCGGTGTTGCTGTTAATTGTTTGTTTGTTTGGCTGTTGCTTGTTCGTTGTTGTCCAAGGTTCGGTAATCGTTGCTGGTGTAATTGTTAGTTTGTTGCTTTCGGCGTTGCTGCTATGGCGAATCCTGAAGATGAAGTGATCAACGATCCAAAGACCCCATCGTCTTCCCGTGTCTCTGCTGCTGGTGCTGATTCTATTGTTGCTCCTTCTCGTCACCCTGCTTTCTCTTTAAACAACATAAAGAATCACGTTTATGAAGTCTTAGACTACACCAACTACTTGATCTGGCGTGAGCTCTTTATTCCAGTTCTCAAGGGTCATCAGGTTTAGAGCCATGTCGACGGTTCCACTTCTCCCCCCGTAGCTGATCCGGAATATGCTCTTTGGAATCAGATTGATGCTCTTGTTCTCTCCTGGATACAAGCCACTCTTTCTCGTGAAATTTTACGCAGTATTATCACTCCGGGGATGTCGCTCACTGCTTTTGATGCTTAGCAGAAGATTGAGAAGCTCTTCCGAGATCATGTCGAGTCTCGAATTGTTCACCTACGCCAGGAGTTCTACCATTTAGAGAAAGGTGATCTCTCCATGCTGCATTCTTGGATCGTTTGAAAGAACTTTATGATTGCTTAGTGTCTACTGGTGATTCTATTACGTTTTGGGACGTTGTTATGCAAGTTGTAATGGGTTTGGGTCCTGAATATAATACTGCAACCTCTCAGATTTCTGCCCAAAAACCATTGCCGACCTTTGATGAGTGTCGGTCTCGGCTTCTACTTGAAGAAGCTAAACTGTTGAAACAGTAGCAGAAATCCGTCGCAGCCTCCTCCTCCACTTCTGCCTTTGTTGCGCAGCCATCTTCATCGACTGCGGCTGTTTCTTCACCTGTCCAGCCAGTTCAGGCTGCTTCTCATGCTGCTTATGCAACTGCTACTTTCCAGAATACTGCTACTGGTGGTCAACGTGGTGGTGGAGGCTGACGTGGAGGTGGTCACAGGGGTGGTGGCCGAGGTAATTGGCAACCGCAATACTTTCGCCCGTCTGCTCCACCCTCTTCTATTTTGGGTGCGCCGCCTTCTCCAATTCCTCAGGTGCCTGGATCTTCTCCATATCAGCACTCGGTTCAGTGCTATAATTGTCGAGGCTATAGTCATGTTGCCCGTATGTGTCCCTCTGTTCCTATGGGATCACCTTCCATAACCCCAGCTTTCAATGCCTATCTGGCCTTCACTCCAAGCCCTAACCCGTGGTATTTTGATTCAGCTGCGAGTGCTACTATGACCAACGACTCTGGTAAGCTTACTGGTTTACCTTCTTATAATGGTCCTGATAAAGTGTGTGTTGGCAATGATACTTTGCTACCGATTAAATCCCTTGGTTCTTCAACTATCTCTACTTCTAGTCGTCCTTTGTTTCTTCATAATGCACTTTATGTTCCCTCTCTTACTCAAAATCTAATCTCTGTTCGTAAGTTTACTACTGATAATAACTGTTCTGTTGAATTTGATCCTTTTGGTTTGTCTGTTAAAGATCTCCCCACGAAGACAAGACTTCTTAGGTGCAATAGTCCTGGACCTCTCTACCCTCTCACTCCTGGTACCTCCTCATCTTCGGTTCCAGCTCTCGTTGCTACTCGTTCCTCTTTGTTCACTTGGCATCGTCGTTTAGGTCATCCTAGTCATCGTGTTTTGGCCAACTTAATAAATGCTTCTGCTATCTTGTTCTCGAACTACTTTAGATTTTTGTCATGCTTGTCAATTAGGGAAACATGTGCATTTACCCTTTGAGTTGTCTTTGTCACAAGCTACTTCACCTTCTGCACTTATTCATTCTGATGTATGGTTTTGTCCAGTTATTTCTCCTAGTGGCTATAAATATTTTGTTACCTTTTTGGATGATTATACACATTCTTGTTGGGTATTTCCTCTTCGCTCTAAGGCTGATGTCTTCTCTTGCTTTTGTGCTTTCTTTGCTTACGTTCAAACCCAATTCAATGCTATTATTCGTACTTTTCAATGTGATCAGGGTGGGGAATATGAAATCATTCTTTTAGGGAATTTTTCGCACCCATGGCATTCACCTTCGCCTATCCACTACTGCTTGCTCTCAACAAAATGGTAAGCAGAA